AAGGAATCTAAACGAATTGCTTCTGCTGGACAAGGCCAAAAATCCCTAAAATTTAGTAGCGCCAATCGCCTAGGAGCACAAAACCACATTAAAAATGCTTGCATTTAAGACAAGCAAGTGAATATAGGGTCAATTCGACAGTCAAACTAACTTGTTTATACAAACTGCAGCCAACACCGGAGATGGGATGAGTAGAGCCCCGAAGGTTCTGGATCCGGCGATTTGTGACGGAAATGAGATCAGAGCCGAAACGGCAGACCAGATTAATTAGAGTTGTGTTGATCAGTTGGGCAGAGCTGGAGGGTCCGATCAGCTGATTCGCAGAAACATCATGGCTAGCCAGTGCCTCAATTTTAGTCGCAAAGAGACCAACCGCTTTTCCAATATTGCGAGCCACCTAAACGAGAGGAAAATGTGAAAATAAAACTAGGATGATGCAAGACAATTGACATGATCAAGATACTTCGGTAATTTATAGTAATTACTGGTAGAAGCTTTGCCGAATGAAGTCTCAAAGGATGGGAAATATACCTTGAATAAAGTAGAAGCAATGTAGTTAAATCTTAGTTGGTAAAATACAAAACCAAGTCCGATGGCTAAAGCGTCCGTGGAAAACTGGTGGATAACTGCAAGCCAAAGCAGTGGAATATAATTAAAACTATCATAAATGCAACTTATATACAAGCACGAACAGCATGGAAGTTAGGTATACAAGCAAGAGCCTAACCCAATTAGAAGATCAAAAGACAAGATTAACAGTCAGGATATAGAATATGCACACAAAAACAAGTGACCAGCGTATGCGGTATATTAATTAAATGTATAGGAAGCAGGTTATAGTCGTTAGGAAATACTGAAATGGATAATTACTCTGACCAAATATAAATTTAAAGGCACAATAGGAGATATTACTCTTTTTAATAAATGCCGCATGTGAGACTTCCAAATGGGCAAACTAAACCAGTACTTCGAAGAGTATAATGCATTTCGAAAAAGACGAAATTTCCTAATGAAAAAAATTGTACAAAAGGAAAGTATAATGGTTAAAAATATACAGATAGTGTATAGAGAAGTGGAAAAAGCCTAGCGAAGTCTTGAGCTAACTTT